CGATAAGCTGCATTTATAATCTATATTTGATTATGCTCACTAGTTTTTTTTTATTAATCAAATACTCCTATTTTACTCTTAATACTCTTAATGCTCAAAATTTGTCTATAAATGTACACTAATTTATCGTCCGTATTTATTTAGTATATTATTGATTGCATTTCGTTGTATTGTTAATCGTTATTTTTTTTTTTATAATATATAACAATTATCTATAATATTGATCCTATATTATTGTTTTATTTACTCCGTATCTGTTTATTTTTTATATAAAACACATTAAAACGGTCAATATACTTTATATTTCTTTACATTTTTATCTCAAAATACAGCTATTATTTAGCCAAAAATGTTCATTAAAAATTATTCGTGACTACTAATCAACATATTTTGTAATCGTAATAAATACTATGATTAAAATATGTTTACGTTTATTTATCTTATGATTAATAACTACAACTTGAATCATAATTTTTAATCATTAATCATATTACGGTTCGCCCAACACTGCTGGTTACTGGTTAGAGTTAGGAAGGATCCATTAAAACGTGTGCCCTGCAGACATCCTGTGGCTGTGCAAAAACCTAAACCTACCCAAACGGTAACAATATTTTTTATTTTAGATCAGCGGCAGCCAGTCGTATAATATCTTTTCTCGCAAAACATTTAGTACTGTAACTAAACAGTTTACGCAGTTATGTATACGATATACGCGGAATTTACATGTGGATAATGTATTCCCCCCGCTTGTATAGCTTATATCCCGGCCGCTCGTTAAAACCAACTTACGCGTATAATAACATTTATCAATAAATCAAAAACTTGGTTGGACTCGGCTCGAATCTTTGGTTTGCAGTCCGTGATTTCGAGCATCTGCAAATATAACGTCGATGTACTTTATTAACATGCCCAAGCCATGTCTTGTTTTTAAATTCGTAAGCAATCAAAACCAATAGGATTTTCTGCAGCTGTATATAAATAATTTCATCGAAATATTATCAAACAATATTTAAAAGAATGAAATCGTAATCGTAAATCCGATTCGTTTGTCGTTCTACATGCGTATTTCAAGCTCTTAATTAGCGATGCTAGATAAAGACGATAAAATATATCGTGAGAAGTTCAGCATTTCATTTTCAGAGTTGAAGTCGTAGGAACAAGTCCAGATTTTTTATTGTGTTTCACGTTGCAATCTCTGCGGCGGTGACGCGGCGTCCATTGACGCATCATAATTGAAAAGGTACGCGGTGCCTAACCGTGATGAAGAGCCTACTATAAAATCTAATTTATCGGGAACATTCATAGCCTTTGCTTACATTTCATACATAGTGTATACCATCATTATGATATTTACCAGAAACTTTTAATGGTTTAGTGTTTAACTTGCACATAAACGCCTTGTTGACCTTACAACCGACTTCGAATCAATACGATATTATATGTCTTTTACCGCTATCCCGTTTTCGGAGGCACATTATTTCACCTGTGAGTTTTTTCCACAAAAGTGTGGAACGCTTGTGAATTGGTATAAAACCGATAACACAACACAAATAATGCAGTCAAAGGTTACCGCTCAAATACCAATACAACTTTCTAACAAACGCATTAGAAATTATCCTAAAAGAAACAAAACATTTTGTTGCTTGCGATCAAGAGACGGCCGCAAAATCTCCACTCACAGAAATGTGTAGGTAGTTGGTTTTACGAACAAATTAAAATTATATTGCGAAATTCAAATTAAATATAGTTCTATGAAAATCGATTCATTTCATCTTACATTATTATCTATAATACATCTGTTTACATATTTTATTATTATATATATCGTTTGGATTTTGAGAACAAAAAAACTGTTTAAAAATACGATAGTGATGTAAAATAAATTTAATAAGACGTACAAATGAAAACTGTTTGAACTTAAAAGTAATAAAAACAAATATTTAACAAATAAAAATCACAGTGGGTTCAACATTTAAATAATCGAATGATTTGGAAAACTTGATTAAATCTCTTAGATGAATTTGATTTTTGAACAAAAAATAAAATACATTTTTTTTTAAACATTTCGTCCAAAATGTTGATACATTTTCACGATTTTTTCATGTTTTATAAATCACCAAAAAAATCTGTTAAAAACAGTACTTGAGCTAAAATGTAATTTGAAGATATTTCTGAACAACTGATTTTTACTTTTTTATAAAAAAAAATTACATAAAAATGAACAAGTGATACAAAATTCATGGAAAATAAAATAATCATTAAAAAATCAATAGGTTTATTGTTTATTGTCTTATATCAGAATCTAAAGTTGTAAGACTTACAGAATCTCTAACAATTTTAAATGATGATATTTATAAAATATATTAGCTGACAATAATGCATTTTTTAATATAATAATGATATATTATAATAAAAAATGACAATAACAAATATTTTTGAATTAGTACGCAGACAATACTGTTTACTGGGGTGATCTGTCACTATATACTTCAGTGACAATGGCGATGGTAATGACATGATAGTTCTAGAGGTGAACAAATATTAAGCAAGTTAAAAATTGAAAAATACAATCTGACCGGAAAAATTTTAATATTTTCAGTATAAAAATAAAAGTAATCATGTAAAGTTTAAAATTATTGATTTAAGAAGTTTTACTGGAATGTTAAATTGCAGTAAAAATGATACATTAAATAAGAAGTACTTTCCTTTTCTTTTTTTATAAAAACAGAAGTTCTATTTTTTTTTTAATTTTTTTTTAATTTTGATTCAACCATTCAAATTATTGTACATTATAATTAACAGATGTAATCTAGAAAAACTGCTTGTATTATCAACACATACATAAATTGTTGTGACATAAATGTCTAGTTTAATTATGACATTTCAATATAGATCTATTGAAAATCGAAGTAAGTTATAGTATGTGCTTACCAGTGCCGGTGCTAGGTATTTGGCCGCCTTGTGCTAATTTATAAAAATGCCGCCCCATATACCTACATTTTTTTCGTTAAAAAAAAAATAATAATTCATATAAATTCAATAAATATATTAGTTTTATGAATACTTAAATAGGTGTAATTGTTTTAACATTTTGGGATGATTTCAATATAAAAATAACTCACATAATTAACATAAGTGGAACCTACTGGTAACCTAACTAATTACCAATTATTGCGCAAACAAGTTATTTTTAAAGAACCAAAAAAATATTAAAAATTAAAAACGAAAGTTATCTATAGTCCATTTATTTTATTTAAAATTAAACAAATACGTTTTACATAATTTTATATGAATTCTATTAATGAAACACTTTTCTTGCCTTTGCGTTTGAGAAATCCTTTATAATTTCTTCAATGTCTAACTCTTGACAAAATTAGTGCTCGATAGCTATCATAGCCAGTCCACTAAGACGATAATTTGTCATTGTTAAGCGTAGGTAGGTCTTTATTAGCTTAAGCTTAGAAAAGCTCCTTTCACCACTTGCAACAGTTATGGGTAAAGCTAAAAGTATACGCAGAGCAATTGATACATTTGGTGCAAATGATCCAATATTAATTATAAGCTTTAAAAGTTCAATCGGAGACAAGTTAAATTCTACCATTGGTATTATAACTCTGAGTTCATCTGCCATTTCAAGTGCGTTAATATTGGCTGAATTACCATCTGTTAAAAATAGTTGCAAATCTTTGCCGTGGTTTAATAGGTTATCGTATGTCATATCTTTTAATTTATTCATGTCATAAAGAAAAAAAAATAATCGCTTTGTCCTTTATCTGTTCAAATCTATCATTTACACTATTAATGGCAATATTAAATATATTATCAAATAAGTTAACTTTAAAATTAATTTTTGGATCAATGATAGGTTCATCCACGTTTTCGTAATCAAATTGTCTTTTAACACGACGTGCTTTCATCTACCAACCGATTGCTCAAATACAGACCCCACATCAATTTCTGATGCCATTTTTGAAGCTTCAAAAACATATTTATCAAATGAATTATCGCAATCAAGTCTTTGCTGTTTCAAATATGATAGTAATGCTTCCAATATTTGTATAGCTGCACTGATATCAAAATTAATTTTTTGCATTAATTTGCTAACAGGATTAATTTGATTGAGTAAATCGTACCAAATAGTGATAGAACAAAGGAAAATAAATTGTTTAATATACTTACAAAGACATTCAGCTTCATGTCTAGTCATAGAATCCATATTTTTTTCTTGCACAATTTCGAATAAAGCATCATATATTTCTCCTATTTGATAACGAAAAGGTTTAAGTGCTTCGATTCTACTTTCCCATCTTGTCTGACTTAATGGCTTTACCGTTAAATTTGTAATATGTCTTAAAAGAATTTGCCAACGGGGTGTAGATGCCGAAAAAAAAACGTAATCTTTTTGAATAATATCGAAAAACTCAATCGCTTCTTTTGATGACTTAACTGCATCATTTACAACAAGATTTAAAGAATGTACACAACAAGGAACGAAGAAAACGCGAGGATTAATATTGCGAAATTCTTCGTTGTACACCAGAATGTTTGCCTTTCATATTCGCTCCGTTGTCATATCCCTAGCCCCTCATATTTTCAATTGGAATTCCCAAGTCCTTCAACTGCTGTATAATAATATCAGAAAGGTCCATTCCAGTACTAGTTTCTATTGGAATAAAACCGAGAAAATGTTCACAAATTGTAACATTTGACTCTTTTTTTGACGATTCAATAAATACAAAACGAATAATAATGGTCATTTTTTCAACGTGGGTTAAATCAGGAGTACAGTCCAAAATTATATTGTAATATTTCGCTTCCTTAACCATATTAAGTATGCGTGTCTTAATAGCACCGGATATTAAGCTTATGATTTCATTTTGTATGTCTTTTCCCAAATAATGAGTTTTATTTTTAGTATTCATTGTTCGTCTAACATGTTCGGACATTATAGGATCATATAACGCCATAAGCTCTATAATTTTTAAAAAATTGCCCTTGTTTTATTTGTAAAGTTGATCTGATGAACCCCGAAATGCTAAATTTTGTTGACCTAAAAGCTGTATTACTGACACGATTCTCTGTAAAACCGCATTCCAATATTTTTTTTCCGATTCAAATATGCGTTGATTAGAGTCATCAATCGTTTTTTTAGCTTTTAATCTTGAAGAAAATTCTATCCAAGTTTGATGTGCTCTAAGATGGGAATTTGATGTCTCGTGTTTTTTTAAAATAATAGAAACGTGTCGCCAGTCGTTATATCCATCTGTTCCTAGTTTAGTTTTTGAAGTTGAAAACAGTTTACAGAAATAGCAAAAAATAACATTCTTGGACAAGGAATAGACAAGCCATGTTCTTAGAACATTTTCTCCGTTACTCAGACAACGTTGATAATTAAAAACTGTAAATCTACGATTATTGTCATCCAAAGGAAATACGAAAGTTTTGACAATGGGTGAAGGAGGGCCTTTTTCAACAATTGTTGTTTTTAACTTATCGCTTAAAAAAGTTGGCCAAGTTGCAGGATCAGTGCCTATATTTAACGTTAGTTTTTTAGATTCAGATGAAATTAAATGGTTTGAAGAATCGTTTAATGTGGTTAACGTTTTAGTAAAGGCAATGTCGGTTTCTATCGGATTTTCATCAACTTGGTCAGAAGTTAGAATAACAGAATCTATAACTGTTGATGTAGATGTATTTTGAGTATGATAAGTAATTATGTTATTACTCGCAGATATAGATTCATGTAGAACAGTAGACTTTTGGAAAAAACATTTTTAATGATCCTGCTTGTTTTTTTATGTTTGCTTCCTTTTCAGCTTTCCTTTTTTTATATTCACAACCCGAAAGACGTTGCCTGCCATCTGACATATTTATCAAATCCGAATAAACTAAAAAAGGATAATTTTTTTTTAAAAAAGTCGTAAAAAAATACAGTGAAATTATATAGACAATTTTATAATGTTCTTAATTTTTTTTAAATACTTAAATATGCGTTATTTAATGTAGCAAAACAATACAAATTTTAATTATACAGTTTCCCTAGGCCCTAGGGTTATGAATTATATTTATAATATATTATTATAATATTCATATCATATTATGATCATATATAATTAAAATTATAGAAGCCCCAGCACCTCACTATCTCAGCCCTAATTACAAGTAATCTTTAAAATTATAATTATTGTTAAAAACTTGTATTATGATTCAATGTCTAATATTTATAAGCAGGTCTAGGATTTTAAAGCAAATGTTTCTTATTTTATGTATGACATTTTTATACATAAATTCGTTTCACGTCATTCTGATTCCAAATAAACCAATTTATTTTAGCTTTTTTGTTATTTATTATACTTTAAAATCCGAGCCCTACTTATAAGTAATTTATATTTTTAGTGTAATTTCGAATAAGAATAAACAATCTTAACTTAACTCGCAAATCACAATGTAATAACTAATAACTAATTATTGTTCGTTGTCTGTCACTAGGCTGCTGTAAATGTATGATGTGTGTGTTTGCCAGTGGTCGAACTACAATTAATTTCGTCTATTGCAGTCGTTACATCTTACAGTCGTTGCCCTATAAATTGAGACGGCGGCGGCGCGATAACGAAAAACCAGGGATTCCCGTTCCATCTATATTGATATATTTCATAATGCCTGGTGCATATCGATACGTGGTACGCCGCGTGCCGTCACCTAGTCCAAAAGCCGCCGCGACGTCCGTCTAATGTACATTTATGTGTCACAATTATACCGGTTTGTCTCTGGCGGCAGGTGAGCAATTCGGTCCTAGGCAATAATTATTAATTACTGATAGCACACAACACATATTGATGACGTGCTCACATAAAAAATTTTAATTTAATATAATATACAACAGAAAAAATAAATTACCACAAACTTTTAAGCATATTTTTATTTGTATTATTTGTATTGCATAATTATCTCCTTGCTCATATTGCCGCCCTGTGCAAATGCACTGCCCGCACATGCCTACCACCGGCCCTGGTGCTTACAATAAATTATTACTATAATAATAAAAATGATTATAGTATTGTACTTTGATATCGTTAACATCTATTGCATTTTCAGTACGAGTATTTAAATATTGTAAAATCAGATGGCAATCTGATTCATAACGTTTTTACTCAAATTTACGTCTCTTAGAATATAAATATAAAAATTAAGTCTGTTAAGCATTTTTGCGTCGGGCATTTCTCTTCTTTTACAGATACAATGACACTTTCATTTAGAATTTAAAGGAAACTTATTTGAATATATATAGCGATAAGTATCAAGTGGAGTTCCCTCTTACGTGTTATCATTAGTACCATCAAAAAATTGAATTTGAATCGAAAACACATCAGTTAGCGTCTAACATCGAAGGCCGTCTTTATTAAATTTTTTTCTTATTTTCCTTTCTTTAATTGTAGAAATTTCAATACGAAATTTATTAGGTGATCCGAATGTTGGAAATTGTGAGATAAACTACCCGAAAAGATCTTTCGACTTCGTTTTTCACTAATCGAATTTTTGGTTGTTTTCTAAAGAAACGTGCACGTTTAAGCATGTGTTTGTATTGGAAAGTAAAACATTCAAATGAATCTCTTTTATTCCCCCGAGATCAACAGAAATAACAGAAGTCTACGGTATAAAAAAAGGGAAGGAGAAGTACAAGCTACAATAAAATAAAATAAAAAAATAATAAAAAAACAAAACCTGATCGATAACCAATCGTCTATGGAGCTAGTTTATTCCATCGAATACGAATTTCTGCAATTGTTACCAATAAATTTGTAACAATAATAATTTATGAACTCAATAAATCATAATACAGTTTATATACTCGCTAATGTGTAAACAACGGACTGAAAGCAGTTTCACGTAAATGTAAGATATATTTCTTACGGAAAAAAATAATAAATAAAATATTTTACGACAAATAATAAAAAAAAATATTTATGGGTAATATTGTTGACTATTATGTAGGTATGAACACACACACATACACAATGAATAATTTATTTAATATAAATCCTAGGTAATTTTCTTCAACAATAAATGACTTAACACTTTTTTTTAGTTTAATAATAATTACTCATAACCGATTCCATAAATGAAAGAGAGTGTAGATATCAATATATTTTTTTTTAACTGATTCGTTTACCACTGAGAGTAACGAAAATTTAATAACTAATACTATTTATATATATATTTCACATTTTTAAATAAAACTTTTGTGGTAAAAGAAAATACAATAAATGGATTCTGAAAACATTATAAATATTGGTAGTTTCCATTTATTTACTGTTGTATTGAAAAGTGAAAAGAAATTATTTTCAAACGCTCGGCACAATAGAAATAAAACAGCTTAAAAAATGCTCTCCATAATATTATCTTATTTCAATAAAAAATCAAACTCAACATATATTTTTTAAGTTCGTATTTTGTTTGGCGCATTAAAAAATCATAAGCGTTATTATAAAATATAAAATTTAAATGTTTTAAGATTTCTTTTTGGGCGTTTGTAAATTGCGCTCATATTAAGTAGGTAGTAAAAATATAGTAAATTGCGCCTGGGATTTTTTGGGGTTTAAAATGGATATAGTAAATTGCGCCCATAGTATCTACTATCTAAGTGACCTTGATTTCATCATTACCTGGTATTTTTAGAGCCAGAAAATGTTTTCAATTATTTTAATTATGAATTAATGCCTACAATACCTGAAGATAATCGATTTTTTAATCGACAATTTTCTTACTATGTTTAAAACACGTATATTTTATTCGCTGACTTTCCTCCGAATAATTGTGCATCAGCTTCCGCAACATTAACTCGGACAACTAAAGGACAACTCTGCTTCTGAATCTTTCCTGTACTAACTGTATTTTTTATTATTAACATTTTTAACCTAACAAAAAATATTTAAAAAAACTATAATTAGTACCATAATATTTAAAAATAAAAATGAATTTTCCTATGGATTAATTTATTCATCTCAAATAAACTAAAAAAACATTTTTGGAGGACAGTGATAGTCGCCTCCTCGTGGTGTCCTCTGGGTAATGCTAAATGACTATCATAAAACTAATATTTCTATTAGGCGCAATTTATCATGCAGAATTTTGTACCTGAAAAATACAGAGCATAATTTACTACACAAAACTTTATACCTGAAAAATACTGTGTGCAATTTACAATTGTTTCCATTCGTTGGGCGCAATTTACATTTGCTCTTTTTTTTCTAATATAATATGTAAAGAAATTATTAAAATAATAATTTATCATTAGTATTAAATTATCAACATAATTGTTCTTTGCTATTAATATTAGCAATGTAAGTTTATTCATTCAGTTAAATATTTAATATATTTCAATAATAGGTTTACAGTCATGGAACTGGATGCGGTGGATACTAGACCCGATATACTTATTGTTCGATTATTTATTTTAAACTTAATTCGAATCACGTTGAAAGTCGTATGGTTGGTAACAATAAGTGAACAATACAGTTCAAATATGATGCTTATGTATAATCTTTGGTCCAGTACGAGTCATCCGAATAATCTCAAATCAAATAAGAACACGGAAACTACCACAGGCAGTGTTGTGCTCAGATAAAAAAAATTATCTAGATATAGATAAGATATCTGGATTTAAAATTATCTAGATATAGATAGATAAAATAATTTTTATCTAGATATTTATATGAGGCATCTACGTTTTCATCTGTTTGTAGGTGAACTCTTTTAGTCTTGGGTAATGATTGTATTATGTAACGATCCATTTCAAAATATAAAAGATTTCACCAATAAAATAAAATTGAAAGTCATAGACAAAATTATGAAAAATATGAAGACGGTCTGACGATAAACACTAGTTTTAATTAAGTTTTTAATAAATAACGGACGTTTCACGCCAAATATTTATTTTGTTGTACAATAATATTATGTAGATACATCAAAGTACGAATTCATAGAATCGGGGTCCGGTAATGACAATTATTTAGAGCACATTATTACATAAACAATGGACATAATTTATATATAAATATTGAATTTAAGGCGGTCGAATGATGATGGAGAACGATCAATTTGTGTGTAGGTACAGCGTAATGCGTATTATAATATTGCTATTTTCTTAGCGACAGTTAATTCTGTATTTTAGTATTTATAAATCATCTACTATGCAGCTGCAATAATAACCAGTTCAGACCTATGGTTCGTTATCTCTGGTTCTAATATTCTTGTAAATGCTTTTTCGGCATTCGTAATATCACAGAACAATAGTAATACAGGCATGAGACTTCCCGTATGGGCCATACTATGAAATTATAAATAATTCTTACCTCCCACGCATATTATGTAGGTAATATATGTCTATATACATATTAAATTATCATTGTTCGTAATTAATAATAAATGTTATGTAAAACTATTTTAGAACCAATTTTTACAAGTAAATATACAAATGAATTTCTTATTTAGTTATTTATTTTATATTGAATGATAAAATTGTAGATTACTAATGATTACTAATTACTAATGATTAACTACAGATTTTGTGAATTATCTAGATGGCTATAATTTTTATCTAGATGAAAATTAGATGTCAATTTTATTTTTTATCTAGATAAAATAACGATATGAAGTTTTTATCTAGATAACATATCTAGATAAATTTATCTAAAGCATAACACTGACCACAGGTAATGGAATAATACACCAATTTAAATTCAGGTATACCCCCAGAATTTCGCCCATATGGAGACGATATGCGATCGATGTGACTGGTAGTGTAGAGTGTCCGCTTAGATTAGATTAGGAAATACAAAAGAAGCCCTAGAAATTTGTGACCAAGTAAT